TCCGATCTATAATTGTAATGTGTGTGCACATGTATGTATGTGTATAGTTTGTATCTGTCCAGTTAACTTCTGTGTTTACTTATGGATGTATTGCTATTGTAAACATATTAGCTTTGTATTCTATTTGGCAGGACTAGAGGTAGAATTTTCCTTTTTTAGGCCAATGGCAGAATCAGATCATTTAATTTTATTTTTTATTTTATGTGTATGAGTGTATTGCCTGCATGTGTGTAAGTGCACTCATGTCGTGCAGTGCCCGCAGAGGTCAAAGAGATGGTATCTGAGCCCCTTGGACTGGAATTACAGACAGTTGTTAGATATCATGTGGGTGCTGGAAATCAAACCCAGGTTCTCTGCAAGAGCAGTCTATGCACTTAACCGTTAAGCCATCTCTCCAGCCCCTGATGGCAGATTTTTTAACATATACTTCAGTCTAAGCAATTATCAAAAGACCGAGTACAGAATGAAATACAAGAGACTAGCTGTCTTCTATTATTCTAGATTTTAAAAACCTGTAACAAAAACACTTAACAACATTACTTTTCTAAGACAAGATTCTTATGTAGCCCAGGCTAAGCTTGAAGTCACTCTATACTGTAGCCAAAACTGGCCTTGAATTCCTCATGATCCTGCTTCCACTTCCACAAGTGTTGCGAGTACAGGCATGGACAACCACCCTTGGCTCTTTTCTGATGTTTTTCTGAAGACTATCATCATTTAAAATGCTATTTATATGAACAAGCAATGAGTTTATTATTGCTATTTTATTTATTTGGTTTTTGTTTTATGTGTAGTGTTTTACCAGTACATATGTAAATGCAACCTGGGTCAAGCAATGCTCATAGAGGCCAGAAGAGGGCATCGGATCCCTTGGAACTAGAGTTTCAGATACAGAAGGTTGTCAGTTACCATGTGTGTGCTGGAAACCAAACCTCTAAATTGCAGAGCCATCTCTCCAGAATCTATTACTGCTACTTTAAAATAATATCATAATATTTTCTCAGTTTTAATTTCTAAAAGAGAAATCTGGGCTGAAGAGATGGCTCAGAGGTTAAGAGTCCAAGCTGTTCATGCAGAAGATCCAGGTTCAAATCCCGCACCCACCATAGCGGCTAACAACCAACCATAACTCTAGTTCCAAGAGAGCTGATGCCCTCTTCTGTCCTCCTCAGGCACTGCACAACATGGTGCACTTACATACATGCAGGTATAACATTCATACACATAAAATAAAAATTAAAATAAATTTTAAAAAAGTTTTCTTGAAACAGAGAAATCTATACAAATAAAGGCTCTATGTGGAGAGTTAGCAAGATGGTTCAGTGGGTCAAGGAGCCTGCCACTAAGCCTTATGACCTGAGTTCAATCCTGGGGACCCACATGGGGGAAGGAGAGAACCAACTCACACAAATTATCCTCTGATCTCCACACTCATTCCATGATGCCTTCTCACACACACAATACATACACAGTACACACACAATAAATGTTTAAACTTTTTAAAACACACACATACATACACAGGCTTAAGAGTTTTGAGAGCAAAAAGTCTGAGAACTGCTGATACAGGAAACATGGGCTGTAGCTTCAGCTCTGCTCCTCTGTAACTACATACTACTCTGTCTTCTATAAAATTAAGAGGTTGGGACTACATGACCATTAAGGCCTAAGAAAAGTCTGTAATTTTATATTCTTTACCTTGAAGTTGTAAATTTCATTGTAGCAATCGGCACTTTTCAGATACCAGGTTATATTGAAAGACAGATCACAAGGTTCTCCATCAACTATAAAAAAAGAAATCATTGTAAATAGATGATTTCAAATGAAGAATTTCTCTTAACTCATATCCTATTTATTTTTTACCCTGAATTGAGATATTCAAAGAATATTCCTTCTTTAAACATAAGGAAATGGAGTAATAGATGCAACAGAACTGTTTCTTTTTTGTTGTGTATGTTTTGAGGCAAGCTCCCATTTTGTAGTTCAAGTTGGCTTCAAACCCATAGGAATCCTTCAGTTTCAGTCTTACCAGTGCTGAGATTATAGGAGTGAGCTAGCAAGACCAGCAGACCTAGATATTCCTTAGATAATGTTACTGTTCATTCAGAGAAATAGTTAAGCAGGTTACCTTTTTTAAATCATTTTGAAACTGTAGGTCTACTTCTATGTATGTCCTAAAACCTCAATTTCTAGGTTTCTACTGGGAAAAACTTGAAGTGGTAAAGCTAAGTTAAAACTAGCCTTCTAATACTCAAGTATTTGCTAAGCAGAGCATAAGTATACAAAGGTACAATCATAAGGTATCTGGTGTTGTATTAAGAGAGGAATGGGCAGGAACAAATTATCAAAGATCCTTTAAAAGGCCACAACTGGGCCAGGTATGGTGGCACACATCTTTAATCCCAGCACTTGGGAGACAGAGGCAGGTGGATCTCTTTGAGTTCTAGGCCAGCCTGGTCTACACAGCAAGTTCCAGGCCAGCTGGGGCTACAGGAAGACCCTTTCTCAAAAAGACCAAAAAAATAAAAAAGGCCATAATCTTGTTGGAGAAACATAGAATAACATCAGTAAGGCTATCACAAAGCAATATTCATGACTATTAAATGGTGGTATAAATAGTCTCACTGAGGGAAAAATTCAAAGCTTAGACTAGACATCCAGACTAAACAGGAAAGGCAATGAACAAAGGCAAATGAGATTGGGCTCAAGGGTACAAATGCCTGCTACACAAGCAATGACAACCTGAGTCTGGATCCCCAGAATCCATGTAAAAAGGTGGGTGTGGTCATGCATACCTATAACCTCAGTGCTATGAGAGGTGGAGACAGGAGGGAGGCTGGGACTTGCTGACAACCCACTTAGCTCCAGGTTCAGTGAGATACCCTGTCTTAAGGGAATAGGTAGAGAGTAATAGAGCAGGATCTCTGACATTCTCCTCTGACCTGTACAAGTGCACACACCCACACATGTATGCACAAAAATAATTTAAAATCCACATAGTTTGGAACCTAATAGTCTAAGAACCAAGGCATAAATCTGAAGTCTTTGGAAAATAAATCTAACTACATAACTGATGAGCAGTATCATCTGGGGAGAGTCAGCATTCCCTTTTTATCCAGTTGTTGAAGGGACAATACACTAAAGGCTTCTCTGTGCTGATGTGCCAAAGTAAACATGACTTGTCAGGCCAGGGTGTCACATGCCAATAATTCCAGCACCGCTGGCAGGTGGAGGCAGAGGGATCAGGAGTTCAAGACCAATCTCAGCTACATGAGAACTTATCTTAGAAAATAAATAAAATTAAAAATAAGGGGCTGGAGAAATGGCTCAGAGTCTAAGAGTACTGGCTGCTCTCGAAGAGGACCTAGGACCCTCATGGTTGCTAATAACCACCTGTAACTCCAGTTCCAGGTGAACTGACACCCTCTTCTGGCCTCAGTGGGCACTGCATGACACAGGTACACTGATACACAAAACATTCATATACATAAAGTAAAAATAAATAAATAGCCGGAGCAGGGAGTGGTGGCGCACGCCTTTAATCCCAGCACTGAGAGGCAGAGGCAGGCAGACCTCTGTGAGTTCAAGGCCAGCCTGGTCTACATAGTGAGTTCCAAGACAACTGGGGCTACAGGGAGACCGTCTCAAAAAGACCAAAAATAAATAAATTAATTAATTAATTAATTTCAAAAAGCATGACTGTATTTAAGAATCTCTTAGGTGTTCACAACTAAAGAAACACCTAATCAAAAGCTTCTTCTTTTCTAAGACTGCAGCTGTGATTTGTGCAAGTATAACAAAAATAAGTATGACTGCATTTAGAAATCAACTTTGATTCAAAACAAGAGATTCAACCAGCCAGGCATGGTGATGTACACCTTTATTTAGTCCCAGCACAGCAGAAGCAGGTGAATCTATGTAAGTTCAAGGCAACCTGGTTCCTTGAACCTCCTACCAAGTTCCTAGGCAGCCAGAACTACATAGTAAGACCCTGTCTTTAAAGTATTATATTAAAAAAAAAAAAAAAAAGCAACCAAATTAAACGTTATCTCTTTGTTCTAAATTGTTTTCTCAACTAATTTTAAATAGCTAATACATTTTCACAGGGCTGCATTGCATTAGAATATGAAAAGAACAGCAGTTGAGTGGGATTTACGGAAAAGTTATAAAGAATATCACAATTTGGCTATGAACTGAAGATACAAAAAGATAGGATATGTTAATGTCAGAAAACAGGACCAACAAGACAACTCAGCAGCTAAGTCTAAAGACCTGAATTTGATTCTTGGAACCTATACGGTAGAAGGAGAGAACCAACTCCTCCAAGCTGCCCTCTGGCCTCCACACTGGTACCACAGAATGCCCACACCCACACATGCACACAAAATTTTAAAAACAAATAAAATGTAATTTTTTTAAAGTTCCCATAAAAAAGATTTTCTGGGAATTCTGTTACAAACATAATAGTTACTATTAAAAAGACAAGTAAGACAAAGAACATTGACTAAAGGCCTTAAGAGATAACGAAAATGGTCCTATGCCACAGAAGCTATACACCATAACCATACCATAACCCTAAAGACATAAAATCAGATAGCTGGTAAATATGAGAAAGCACAGAGTTATTAACAAAGAAAAAGAGATGCCCACAGACCAACCCCTTCATTAAGAATCTTTTTTGGGGGGGGGGCTCTTTTTGAGACAAGGTCTCCCTGTAGCCCCAGCTGGCCTGGAACTCACTATGTAGACCAGGCTGGCCTAGAACTCACAGGAATCTGCCTGCCTCTGCCTCTAGAGTGCTGGGACTAAAGGCATGCGCCACCCCGGGCCCAGCTTCACTGAGATTCTTTACACAGGTTATTCTGAGTTATGTCAAGCTGACATGTAACACTCTGACAAGTATATTTTATCCCACAGATCAAGCAAACTATAATCCCAGCACTTGGGAAACCAAGCCTACAACTGGTCTTGGGCTACATAGTGAGACCATGTTTCAAAAACAGAGCTGCCTTAGCTGGGCGCAGTGGTGCACGGCCTGTAGTTCCAGCACTTGGGAGGCAGAGGCAGGCAGATCTCTTTGAGTTCAAGAAGGCCAGCCTGGTCTACATAGTGAGTTCCAGGCCAGCTGGGGCTACAGGGAGACCCTTTCTCAAAAAAAGAAAAATAGAAAGATGAAGAAAAGCTGCCCAATCACTCATTCCCTAATAATAAAACAAGTTTCAGAACTAAGAAAAGTGTTGGTGCTCATGGGATAATTTAGATTCAGATCCTGTGGTTACCACACTAGACAGACTGGTTTTCTTCTACATAATCCCTATTTCCTGGTAATATCCCTGAACTTGCTGTTCCTTGAAATGTTAAATACTCCCTTGGTAAATAAAAGGTCTACTGAGTATCTGAGCCAATGATCTGACAAACTCAGGCCAGGTTTTCAATAAATATCTAACAAACATACAAGAGTAAAATCAGTGATATCACTGATTCAAAACATTTTAAAACTATGAAGGCAATTAGCCAATATAATTAAATATAATTCCATAAAAAAATAACTGAATATATAGGTTATATGTAACATGTGTATATATATACATATATGCTATGTATTATAAAATCAACATATGAATTCAATATAGTATGCACTCAGATGATACATATACATAATATATGCTACATATAACATAGTGTATCTATCTGTAACAAATAATAACCTAAAAAAGAAGAAAATAAAGTTCACACAGGTAATCTATTATTCAATGAAAGGACTTTAGTTATAATAAATATATCTAAACAGTGCCAGACTTCTGAACATAAAAAATATATTGAGATACCGGGGCTAGGGAGGTGGCTTCACTGATTGAGTACTTGCTACAGAAACATAAGGACCTGAGTTCAGATCCCTAGGGCCCAAGTAAAAAAGTGGCCTAGGCCTGTAATCCCAGTGCTAGGGAGGCAGAGATAGGCAGATCCTTCAGACTTGTTGGCCAGTCATTGGAGCCAAATACCAAGCTCCAGGTTCAGTGACAAACCTTATCTCAAAAAAATAAGGAGAAAACAGTGCCAGATAGGAGAAATCTCCATTTAGTTGTTGGCCAGAGTAATTCAAGAGACTCCCAAAATTACGCAGGCTATTGCCACAAGTCCTTGATTGCCTATGAGAACTTCAAGGTAAGTCCCTACTGCTGAAGACAGAACATACTTCAAACAGAACTTGGAGCAAAGGAGCTGGAACTGACCTAGAAACCACCTCCCTGAAAGCTAACTCTCATAGTTTTGGAGGGCACTAGCTCTCATAGCTTTGGAGAGCAGCACACAAACATACATATGTGTGTATATATATATATATATTAGACTAAGGTAGAAAATAAGTTTGTAACTTTAAAAAGCTCAAATAACTTCATAAAATTCAAAAACTCACATTTCAGTAAGATAGTAGTATTTCTGAAAAGAATCTTTCCAAAATTAAAATAATTTTTCCCCTGCAAAAATAAAGGAAAGATAATTAGCATCAGGCTACTTCAACTTCCAAGGCAGAATATGCTTAAATTTATGAAATATTCAAATTAGTTTTCTTAAAAAGGCAACAACACCTCTCTTTTTGGTGAAATTCAATCATATCTGAATTATAGATCTTTCCTCTTAGTGCAATCATGATTTCCAACTCCACCCCTACCTGCAGACTGTACAGCAGAAGGCATAGATAGAAAGCTGTTAGAAATTTCAACTTAAAAGCTTCGTGAGATGTACCCTTTAGTCAGTTCATTTCCTTTATTCGCTAATCATCATTCAGAACAACCAATCATTACTTTCAAATAGCCTGTGAGTCGTTTTACTTTTAAATTTAAAAGGACCTATTAATCATTTTAGTAACAAATAGAAACCTAAATTTCAAAACCTAAAGATCTTTACCAAAAGAATAAAACCTGTAATATTTACCATATAAATTTACAATCAGTGAACAGGAAAGAATAAAATAAAAATGTCAACGCAGTCTTAATAAGGCTAATAGTTTTTAAAGCAGTTCTTGCCTGAATCTGGTTTCTGTGATTCAAGGGGCTATACTCACTCGAGGCAGGTTTAAAAAGTGGGAGGGACATAACAGGTCGACCTATCAGTTAACTATCCAAATTAAGAAAAGACTAGCCTTTGCCCATTAAATTTTAGAATCCTTCCATTTTGGCCATTCCCGGGTTAAAATACATTTTTTAAAATTTTTTAAAATCCCAAAGTCAATTACACAAGTAAAAAAATTCAAAATGTAAACGAAATCAAACCACCTCATAAGGACAATTACTTTTTTAAGCTACAGAGGAAAGAAGACACCTGTTTACATAAGTTACTGGACTCAGTGAAACTCCAGCTGAAAGATAAAGAGTCGGTCTGCGCGTCAAGTTTCTCAAGTTCTCGTTCAAAGTTCTGTTACTTTGAGGAGGACCGCTGGGCCTCCTTCCCGCTGGCTCAGGAGGCCGGACACTCGGCGCCTCTAACCAGGAGTGCGGCTTTCAACGCCGGGGATGTGGGACCCTGCCAGCCCGACCCACGCTCGGGCCTCCCACCCCCTGCGGAAACCGACGCCGGGTGGACCCCCTGGGCCACCGTAGCCCTACAGCTCACCCCCTCCGGATTCAGAGGCGACTTCAACACTCACCGACGGCATCGGAATGTGCCACTTGGACCGGTCGGCAGCAGACACAGGGGATGGCCCTGCACCAAACAACGACAGTGGGGACGGCTGCGCTCCCAAAAGCAGGAAAACGACAGGGGACACCTGAAGCCACGCAGCCACCGCCATCTTCACAGCACTAGAGAGCCTACCCAAAGCATTTCGCCTCCTTCCGGCTGGCTGTCCCGCCCTCTTCCGTCTCGCCACGCCCTCTTCCGGCTCTGCTCTGTGGGCGGAATTATCCACGTCCTGGAAACTTCGCGGGATTTGTGTGTTTTGAGACGCAGCCGTACCTCCCTCGCCTTGTCGAAGGACTCGGGAGAGAGCGGCTACTGCGCAGGCGCTGTCTGGTGGTCGGTTGGTCCTTTGGGTGGTTTAAGTGAAAGACCAAACCCACTGACGCTCGCGCTTAAAAGAAGTCGGAGCCGCGGTCCGGACTCTGCTCTTCCCACTCCTTCCCTTCTAAGTCGAGGTCGGGCGCGGGTCCGGGGTCAAGAAACGCCAACACTGGCAGCATGATTGGCATCCAGCGGTGAGCTCCCCGCTCCGGAGAGGTTGTAAGCAGAGCCTGGAATGTCAGTGGTGCAGTACAGGCGGTTCATAAGTTTCAAAGACCCCTTTTGACCCTAACAGACTACAGGACAACGGCAGCCGAGTTTGACCGGCGACATCAGCGTCCAGCAGTTCCCACTCGACACTAAACGTTGGGGAGGGTGGGTCAGCCTTCTGTTTTGTAGATGACCTGACTCCGTCTAGGTGCTCCCTGGTTCTCACGCTCTGGATTTTAACCCCCAGGGCTTCTGCATACAAGCTTCCTTCGCTGCAGTTTCAGTTCCTAATAAAAGCACGGTTCATCAGCCACTCATTATCCAGAAATGTTTGCCAAGTATATCCCCGTTGACACGCTGCTTTGCACCTGAAAAAAAAAAAAAAAAAAAGTCCCAGGAACAAAAATCAAGATTTGTCCCCCTTTAAGCATCTATCTGGACAGGACTCCATTTTCCAGAAACTTGAAGCGGGAGAAGTAGTGGTCATAATTTAGCAAGACCGTTTGTTTGTTAAAGATCGCCTAAGGTCGTGGTCTGAGAGCTAGGAGCTGAGCAGTATAGCCGGAAAGCCATGGAAGCAGCTGAGAAACAGGAAATCAGGTAAAAGCTAACTGCTCCTGCAAGCACTTGACACCCCCTCCCCAAACAACTTACACTTCGTTTGTTTTAATGGCACTTACTTGAATGCTTGGCGTTTGCTGTATCATTCTTCCTCAGACCTGCAGGGAGTTGGGTAATGTTAATTGCTAACCTTTCATAAAATACTTTTTTAAATAACAGGAGGAAAGTTGCCACCTGAACTTCGGACCATGAACTTTAAGCATTCCGAGTTTAGGCCATGCCCACCTTTGCCTATGTCAGTCCACAGCTCGTTCTTGAAAACTGGAAAGAGAAGACTTCAAGGTCCTTATGTTTGCACACTTGATTAAAAGAAGCAGTGACAAAAACTGAGTTTAAGTATAGGTAGCCATCCAGGCCTATTTTAGAAATTCGTGTTCAGCCTTAGCTTCAGTTAGAACCGTGGTCATGCTAACTGCAGGCGCTTTCAGCTCCAGCTCTTCAACAAAGCCAATTTTTCCCCGTGTAGCTTATAGTTACTTAAACCAGGGAAGGCTAATTGCAGTGCATACACTCAAGCAGCAATGTGCATCTTACTCGTGTTTCAGTCCATGTTCGGTTGTTCTGGAAACTTGGTTTTAGTGAATGTTGATCTCTAGATCGTCAGCACCATCTTAGCAGAAGGCTTTTCTTCTATATTTGTACCTATTTCAGCACCTTTCACATACCTTCGGGGCTTTGTGGGCTTGTACTGTGGCTGCTGGTTAGACTTTAAAAGAAAGTTTAGACACTCTGTGTCTTGTTGAGACCACAATACTTGGTGAAAATTGTTCTGAAAATATTTTGCTCATTAGAGAAGTGAATGAATTGGTTGCTTGGTTTGGATTTAGATTTGTTTATTTGTGAGGGGGCTGTTTTATTCTTTGCTCTTTCAGATTTTAGTGTTGTGGCGATTTTTTGCAAAGATCCCTCACCTGGCTGGAGAGATGGCACAGTACTTAAGAATACTTGCTGTTGGTCTTCCCATATGGGGCATTTCACAACTGCGTGTTAACTCTACTGGGACATCCGATGCACCTCTGTCCTCTGAGAGCACCTGCACTCAGATGCACAGACACATATGCACATAATTTAAAAAATAAAAATAAAATATCTAAAATACATAAATAAAGATCCCTTTCTCATAATTGGCCCCATTCTTTTTCCATGAGTAATCTCACGGTGATATTTTGTTATTTGACTTGGTTGTTTTACAAAAGGATATTGTTCTACAGCATATATGCTGTCATTCCGTGAAGCTATTAACTCAGCAGTGACAGTTTTACAAAACAGAATACATTCCAAAAGTTGACTGCATGTTTATACTATAGTTAGGGAAGATACAAAGTTCACAAGCCCTATGTAAAATGTTTCATTAAATGTCTTTTCATTTAGTGTTGAAGATGAAGCTGTAGATAAAACCATTTTCAGAGACTGCAACAAGATTGCTTTCTACAGGTAAGTAAATGTATTACTTAGATCAAAACATTTCTGACAGTATTTCAAAATTATTGTCACTAAAGTTTTGAGAACTGAGAAGTTAAGAAAGTGGTCAACTAGGAAATTTAATGATTAAAATTTTTAAATTTTACGACTTTGAATAGATAATACTCTGACATAGCTCAAACATTAAAAAGATATACATTAGCCAGGCATGGTGGCACACGCCTTTAATCCCAGCACTCCGGAGGCAGAGGCAAGTGGATCTCTGTGAGTTCAAGGCCCCCCTGGGGAGTTCCAGGACAGCTGGAGCTACAGGGAGACCCTGTCTCAAAAAAACAAAAAAAAAAAAAAAAAAAAGATATACATTGAGGGGGCTGGAGAGATGGCTCAGTGGTTAAGAACACTGACTTCTTGCAGAAGACCCGGGTTCGAATCCCAGCACCCACATGGCAGCTAACAACTATCTGTAACTCAAGTTCCAGGGAATCCGACAGCCTTTTCTGTCCTCCGCTGGCATTGCATGCACAACATGGGTGCACTTACCTACATGCAGGCAATACACTCATACACATAAAATGAAAATAATAAACAAAATACTAAAAAAAAGATATACATTGAAATATTACTCCTACCTTTGCTTTTCCATCCCAGTCCTCATCCCATAAGTAAGCATATTTATTAATTTTTTATTTATTCTTCCAGTATTTCTTTTCTGTTTGTTTGCTGTTTGAAATGGGGTCTCCCTGTAGCCCCAGCTGGTCTGGTACTTGCTATGTAGACCTCCATCTCATGGAGATCCACCTGCTCCTGCTTCCCAAGTGCTGGGATTAAAGGTGAGTGCCACCACAACTGGCCAGTATTTCTTTTAGTAAATACTTTTATGGTTTTTTTGTTGTTTGTTTGTTTTTTTTTTTTTTTTTTTGGCACCCAGCTATGTAGCTCTTGCTGACCTGGAACTCACTATGTAGACCAGGCTAGCCTCAAACTCAGGAATCCACCTGCAGACTCTGCCTCCTGAGTGCTAGGATTAAAAACATGGTGCCACCACGCCCAGCTGTATATATATATCCTTAACATCACACCCTTCCTTATACTATATGTAGGCTTCTATATACACTGCTCTATATCTATTCTTTTTTTCTGATTTGTAGTTTATTCTGTAGCGCTTGCCCTTAAATACATGGAGATTTCCCCCATTTTTACAGCCACATACGATTTCATTAGGTAGATGTACTATCATTTATTTTGTTCTGTTTCTACTTGCTAGAACCTTGGATTTTTTTTAAGCTTACTATAATAGTGATAAATATGAAGAGCAATGTATGTCATTTCTTACATGTCCAAGTGTATTTGTAGGATAGATTTCTAAGAGTGGATCTGGAGATGTGACTCAGTGGTAGAGCACTTCCTTATGTGCAAGGACCTGGGTGTGCTCCTTACTCCTAGGGGTGGGAGGGAACAAAACAAAAAAACCTAAGATTAACACTTGAACTTTGTTAAGTATTGTTATGTTTCCTGTAGTGATTGTACTATTTTCTGTTTTCATTACCATTCTGGGAAGTTACTTGACCCTCAAAAACAATGGCTTTAAAATCATTATTTAAAAATTTTTTTTATTTATTATTATTTTGTGGATGAGTATGTTGCCTGCATATATATAAGTGTACCTGTGTCATGCAATGCCCCAGGAGGCAGAAGAGGGTGTTGGATCCCCTGGAACTGGAGTTATGGATGGTTGTTAACTGCCATATAAGTGCTGGGGATCAAACCCAGGTCTCTACAAGAGCACCCAGTGCTCTTAACCACTGAGCCATCTCTCCATCTCCTAGAATCAGTTTGTTTGGTTTTTTTGTTTGTTTGGTTGGTTGGTTTTGGGGTGTTTTTGTTTTGTTTTGGTTTGGGTTTGGGTTTTATTTTTTTATTTTTTGGTGTGCTCCATGGCTTAGGTGGTTAGAGGTCTTGTATAATGTCTACTTTTACGTGATTTTGAAACTGAAATCATCAAAATATTTTCATATATTTTAACTTTCTATTTAATTTACTATTTGTTCTAGAGGAAGAAAATATACCATTTTAATTCAGAAACATTTACAGTAAAAGTATTTGGTGGAAATACACAGTGAATGCCTGATTACCTTGTTAGACCAATAGCTCACACTGGATTGCCGCTAGAATCTATTGTTACTACAAGTGTTTCATTTCATGAAGAAGGGAAAATTTAAACTCATAAAAGTCATTTTTCAAATTTGAGCCAGGAAGGTGTCTCAGTCAATAAAATGCTTGCAAGAGGTTTTGAGGTTGAGTCCCACAAGCCACATAAAAATGTCAAATGTGGGTGCTTGTAGTCCCAGCACTGGACAGGCAGAGACAAATGGATCCCTGGGGCTTCCTGGCCAGCCAGCCTATCCTACTCCATGAGCTCTAAGACAGTAAAACATGTCTCAAGCGAAAAAGGTGGACAGTTCCTGAGGAGCAATACCTGAGGTTGTTTTCTGATCTCCATTCATGTGTGCCATACTCATACAGTCACATGTTCCTGTACACACACACATATATACAAAAAGAAGGAAAATTGTCACACTTAATAAAGGAGGCAAGATGGCATCCTTGAGCAATATGTTGAAATTTTTCATTAGTACACTGTTAGCCATGATTTTATTGGCACTCTAATAATGTAGTATTCTTAGTACTTTATAAGAATACTAATACTGCTGAATCCCAGCACTTGGGAGGCAGAGGCAGGTGGATCTCTGTGAGATTGAGGTCAGCCTGCTCTACATAGTGAGTGCCAGGCCAGCTTGGGGCTACAGGGAGACCCTGTCTCAAAAAGCCCCTCCGCCCCCCAGAAAGAATACCAATACTGTCTGTGCCAAAGTCACTATTTTAGTGAATTTTACTAGTTTCTACATGATAATATAGTCTATTGGATGCTGACAGTCACAAGCAGTCCTCATACATCTGTATACTCTGTCTGTAGGCGTCAGAAACAGCAGCTCTCCAAGAATACCACCTATCAGGCATTATTGGAGTCAGTCACAACAGGCCAAGAAAGCACCAAGTTCCAAATCATCAACAAAGCAACTAAGGTGAGACAGAAGAGTCTTTTGCAGAGAATAATTTATTTTTTTATTATGGATGAAGTATGTAATTTCTAAAATAGTTAATTTAAATTATGTATGCCTCAATAGTAAGCTTTGTTAAAGAATAAATACTATCTTTTACTTTATTTTTAGTTTTTATTTTTTGTGAATGAGTATTTTGCCTGTGTGTATGTAGGTATACCACATGTATGCAGTGCTCACAGACACCAAAAGAGGGCATCAGATCCCCTGGAACTGGTTTTTATGGACAGTTGTTAGCTACTGTGGGTGCTGGGAACTGAACCAGGGTCCTCTCCAAGAACAGCCAGTACTCTAAATTGTGGAGCCATCTCTCTAGCCCCTTATTTTGTTTTTGTTTTTGGTGAGTTTTGGTGGGGTTTTTTGTTTGTTTGTTTGTTTTTTTGAGACAGGATCTCATGTAGTCCACTTGGCCTTAAGCTTGCTATGTACCTGAGGATGCCCTTGAACTCCTGATCCTCCTTTCTCTACCTCCAGGGTGCTGGAGTTACAGGTATGTGCCACCATGCCCAGCTGATCAAACTTTCATAGTAATGCAAATACCAACAAAACATTTGTGCAGATGTTTTACATATGTTATTTCCTCTTTTTCAAATTTTTTTTTAATTTGTGTATGAGTGTTATGCCTCCATGTATTTAGGCGTACCTGTGTCCTGCAGTGCTGGTGGACAGAAGAGGGAATCTGATCCCCTGGAACTGGATGGTTGTTAGCTGCCACGTGGGTGCTGGATTTGAGCCCAGGTCTTCTGCAAATGCAGTCAGTGATCTTAATCCCTGAGCCATCTTTCCAGCCTATGTTATTTCCTCTTAACTAGTTTTCATAATAAACCTAAAAGATACACTGTATTATCCCCCAATTAAACGAGGAAAATGAAATCTAGAAAGTCATACAGCTGTAATCAGGATATTTTCTTGTCCTTGTCAGACCCTATCAAAGATCTATGCCCTTTCCAACATTATTACATAGTTTCTCCTCCAGCCCAAGCAAGATTCAGGGAATGTCCAGACTTCTAAATTCAGGCTGCCAAGGAATAGATAAAGGTATATTGTGCAATGGAAAGCCCAAGACATAAGTATTTGATCTCTGATTGCTTTAGTTACAGATCACCATCATTCTACAAACTAAAGGAATTGTAGCAGGATATCTTAAGTACTTTTTACTTACCTTTCAATTCATCACACTACTTCAAATGTGCCTCAAAGATGAGCCAGTCATAGAAGTGTTTGGGACAGGACCAGAAAGTGTGACTCTGTAAGTCAACAGACACTTCACCCTGTCATCTTCTAAAGGCATCCTAAGCGTCTACAAACTTAGACCAATATGAATTCACTGGTAATTCTTGGAACTGAAGCGTAGTTCCTTAAGTTGTGGCCTAGATCCACAACTGTGTGGACAATAACTTCAGCAACTTTCTGAACATTCCCAGTTCTTGGACACAGACTTTCAACTGAAAACTATGTGAAATCTCCTTGTGACTATCACAGCTCCTGTCCCATAGTGTTCAAATGTAGTATATCAAAAGTGTATCAAAAGATAGAACAAGCTGGATTTCGTGGTACATGCCTTTAATCCCAGCACTCTGAAGGTCAAGGCAGGCATAGCTCTATGAGATCAAGGCCAGCCTGGTCTACAGAGCAAGTTCAGGCCTGCTGGGGCTACTAAGGAGACCATGTTTTTTTTTTTAAAAAAAAAAAAAAAAAAAAAAGAACAAAAATTGTCCCACTACATTTGAGGAGGGGTTCTCTATCTGTAAGACCTTTAATTTAGAAGCTATTTGGGCTCAACAGTCTCAACCCCCCAAATTTAGTGAGGCTTTCCAAGACATCAGAAACCTTCTTGTCTTGTTTTCTAGTGATTTTCTCATTTCCTGTCTTCTCTTGGTTGCACCTGATCCCAGCAAGTGGTAGAGTCTATGATCAGAACATAAAATCCTTTTCCTCTGGGGCTGGAGAGATGGCTCAGTGGTTAAGAACACTGACTGTTCTTGCAGAAAACTCAGGTTCAAATCCCAGCACCCACATGACAGCTAACAACTGTCCATAACTCCAGTTCCAGGGGATCCGACTGCCTCTTCTGTCCTCCATGGGCATTGCAGGACATGGGTGCACTTACCTACGTGCAGGCAATATACACATACACATAAAATAAAAATAAAAATAAAAAATTCTTATCCATCCTTGGGGAGGCTTAGTGTATTAAACCACTCACTATCATAGAGACTTAAGCACAATAAATGAGGCAAAATTACTTTAAATACCAGTAATAAGCCAAAGTAAAATTCTTTTTTAAAAAATATTATTTTTATTTATGTGTATGAGTGTATTGCCTGCATGTATGCGAGTGCACCCGTGTTGTGCAATGCTGCAGAGGTCACAAGAGGGCTTCAGATTCCCCTGGAACTGGAGTTAAGGACGGTCCATAGCCACCGTGTGGGTGCTGGGAATCAAACCCAGGTCCTCTGCAAGAGCAGTCAGTGTTTTCAACCGCTGAGCCATCTCTCCAACCCTCAAAGTTAAATTCTTAACACAGCTGGATACCAATGCAATTAGTGCTAGACTCCTGTGCATGCCCCTTTACAGTAAATCATTCCTTTCCCTGGATCCTGAACATGTAAGGCAATGTAATTCAAGTCAGGTGCCTGCACCAGAGCCAGATAGATCTCAATACCCTCCAAAAAAAGAAGTTTATAGTGCAGGAGGACCCAGAAGTTCTCAACACAAGGCAGCATCTGGCTCAGAAGGGATCTAAGAAGTCTGTTAAACAAAGATACATTATCTGGAATGTCAGTAACAAAAGACTGACTGGACCCTTGGGAAATACTACATCTTCAGGGACTAGAAATTAGCAGAGCTAATATTTTAAGAAGTCACCCTGAAATTCTGGGCTAATTCCATTTTAATGTCCTAGTGTCATGTAGAGTTGAGATGACCAGTAGGGACAGGATTTCATGCCCTATGTTAATTTAATGAGCATTGAAGATCCAGACAGTAATCTCTGAAATTGTACCTTATGGCCATCTCATTGCATAGTAATAGAGTCAAAGATTATTTCTAGAATCAGATAAATCTTTTATAGATATTATACATCAGTACCAATGTGGCCCAGAGATTTAAAACAAACTGCATACAAGCACTTAGTAAGAATGATAGCTTTTTATTTCAGGCTCAGAGAGACAGAGTCCAAAGTCTAAGAGGCTCTTATTCAGCTCACAGCTGCAGTTCTCAAATTACACTGATGAGGCAGATTCTGTCAAACCCAGTCCTATTCATGCCCTCCTGCCTGCCCCCAGCCCTTTCAAAGCTTAAACTAGTAACTTCAGAGTTATTGGGATTTCTTATTCTTGAAATTCAATTCCTTTTCCCAAATCCACCCCCTTAGTAAACAATCAGGAAACAGAATCAAGCTTCATCAACATTGTCTTTTGCTAGGGCTGAATGACAAAATACCTTGAACTGAGTGGTGTAAACAACCGACATTTATTTCTGTTGCCAAAGTGCTGGCACATTTGCTATCTGAAGATGGTCCTCTTCCTAGCTTGGAGATGGCCGCTTTGTGTCCCTATGTGACTGAAGGAGGCAGACAGGGCAAATTCTGGGCTTTTCTTTAAAAGGCACTAAGTCTATCCTAAAGACTCCCTTCTCTTGAGCTCTTACAAACCTAATTTCATGCAAAGATTCTGCTTCTCCAAATACCATCACATTAACATGCGAATTTGGGGAGACACATTTCAAACCATATCACACATGATGTTCCTAGGGCACAGTAATATGACAGAGCAAGCTAAAGTTTTGGCCTGTATGTTATCGTGAGATCAGAACACCTAGGCCTTGAACAATTGATAATGGGTTCAGAGGCTTAAGATGCTTAAATTTTCTCATATACAGTACAAAAATAATCTATACTCATAAATATGTAAGTAAATATTTAGTAAAGAAGCTTCTAGAAGAAAAACCTAAAAAGAAAGTATTTAGAAACGTTCTTACTGTTTTTTTGTTTTGGGGGGTCTTTTTGGTCTTTTTGAGACAGGGTCTCCTTGTAGCCCCAGCTGTCCTGGAACTCACTATGTAGACAAGGCTGGCCTTGAACTCGCAGAAATCCGCCTGCCTCTGCCTCCCAAGTGCTGGGATTAAAGGCATGCACCACCACCATACCCGGCTATGCCCGGCTTTTTTTTTTTTTTTTAATATTGTTTAGGTTTAATTTTTTTCCTCCCTACTATTAACAGTTTTCTACCTTGAGTGAAAATTTGACCAGGATTGAGAAGCAGAGATCTAGTCTTATGACATTAGTACAGGGAGATGGACATTATCTTTTGTGGTGAGAGCAAGGTTGTAGGGTTTAACCTTTGTCTTTAAATCTACTAAATATTGCTAATTTTGGTTATACCCCCCTCCCCCAGTTTGGGTAACCATTTGGCAAGATTTTTACTTTGTTTTGCAGCCTATTAGGTTTCACCAGAGACATGTTTAGCAGCTTCTTCAAGGATGCAGAGATACCTCTGAGCATCTGCATGAAGTTACTCCTTCCTCATCTGAGTGGGATAAAAATGAGACTTTGTCTAGCCATCTCCTCAGCAGATGGGACACAACTATACTTCTTAGCAAACTCTGTTTCTCCTGAAATGAACACAAACCATTAACTGGGAACTGGCCAAACAGAAGCACACTTGGACAGGGGAATGAGCTTTAAAAAGCCAGCATGAGATCGTCAATGTTCTTGATAGAGGATCTGTGTTTCATTGATCACAAACAGCTGGCTGGGGGTTCTTTCACTCTATCTGAATAGAAATTGTGATCAGGCAAAGGGGCAGCTCTCTTAGCAGTGAAAGCCCTGACAGAGGTTTATGGCTCTCAGCTTTGCTAACTAAAGCTGGTGGCACCAAGATTTCAAAGCTGTAAGCTTATTACTCTAGGTGCTCAAGGTAGAGATTTATTATCACTGTGGGTTTAGAGTACTAACAGCCAGT